CAAAGCCCCGCAGGGCGCACAGCCCCCCGGGGCCCGCCCGCTGCCCGCGGCAGCCACACACTCGTTCCTGGTAGCAGCAGCGCTTGGAAGAGCCCCAAAGGGCGAAGGCGTTTTGAAATCCACGCCAGAATCAAGGGGCAAGTGCTGGAAACAGCCCTTGCAGTTTATAACCAGCAGAGAAACCAAACAAGCCCGGGCTCCGGGGCACCCGGGAGCTCCGTTTGAACCCAGATCCAAGCAAAACAGGTTGCTGCTGCTGGAATTACCCCGACGGTTTTACCTTTCAGCTCCCTCCCCAAACACCAGCCTGGGGCACGCGAGTGCGTGGCCTCCTGCCCTGGCCCGGCAGCCCCGGCTCCGAGCCACAGCCCGGGCCGTCTCCCTCCCCCGGGGCCCTCCCTGGCGCGGCCTCCCTGACCCAGCACATCTCTAGAGGGAGCAGCCAAGGGCAGAGACCACCCCACTTCCCAGAGATGCCAGCGAGGGCTCCCTGCTCTAGGGGCAGGGAAGCTGGCACATGCAGCATCTCCTGTGCCCTGCTCTGAAGCCCTTCTGGATGCCCCTTCTCCTGGCTCTGCTCAGCTCTGCCGGGCTCCATCCCTTCCCCAGTGCAGGCACCTGGCAGGCTGTGTGGTGAAGCACCACGTGCAACCATCTCACACCCAAGGAGCTGCTCTCAGCTCAAAGCCACTGTCTGTCCCATTTTGCTGGGGTATTTGCTGGCCTGGCAGGAGACCCCAGGGGAGGGAAAGTGAGATGGGGGCATGGCTGGGTCCCAGCACAGCTCAGTCTCTTTGCAGAGGCTGGAGATGCCCCATTCTTTGTAGACTTTTCCCTGACACCTGCCTCTTTGAATCCCTGTAGGTTTGGGGTGCACTGGGTTTAAACACTGGGTGGGCTTTTTTGGCAGCCAGGTGATGGTGGGTTTGCATGGAGAGTTTTTGGGTTGGTAGGGCCATTATGGAGCGAGGCAGTGGGGGGCAGAACCAGAGTTTCTAGATTTAGAAGATTCAGATTTTCCTTACTGGGATGCAATCAACTGGTTCGCCTGGTCTGTGGAAGCAGGGAGCAAAGAAACGTCACATTTCCAAACTGTCCCATTTTCAGCTTCTCATTTGCATACTTGAATAAAGAGCCCTGAACACAGCAGAGCAGAGTTCCTGTCACCCTCAGACAATGTGAATTTCCCTGGACATTCACACCAGCAGCTGGAACAAACTGGGTTCTTGTCCTGGCTGGAATCTGTTCCAGGATGAAAAAGACATGGGTAGGGAAACTAAGGGAAGGGACTGGCAGACTGAGCCAAAGCTGTACTAGAAACCAAGGTTCTCCAGTGCCCTGAACCATGCTCCTGGGACCAAACATCACAACCCCATTCTCAGGACTGTCACCTGCTCGAGCCACATGTCCCCAGAGCATCTGCAAGGTGAACCGCACAGGGGAGCTGGGGGACTCTTGTCCCCAGTGCCCTGAGCCAGGGACCCCTCGTCACCACAGGGCTGGAGGGCACTCACAAGGGAGATGTGGGAGCCCTCAGAGCAGCCCAGCAGCTGACAGCCTCTCATCTCTGGCGCTACCTTCGATCTGTGTGTTGGCTCCTGTTTGCACTTACCGGCTTTGAGTGGTTTTTAATTATTGATGCCTCTTTTAGCTTTTATCTCGTGCTTGCTGCAGCCAGGAAGGGCTTGGCGTTCCTGCATTAGTGATGAATTGGGAAGGAGGCCCTGCTCCACCGTGCTGCAAAGCATTCCCAGCTTGCAGGCTGAGCCATTGTTTCAAGTAAAGCCGTGCTGAAAAATGAGGAGGGGTGGAGTGGGAGCAGGATGTGGTGGATACAATTCCTCTGCTGCCACAGAGGCAATAGGGATCTCTCTTGTGGGAAAAGCTGAAGGAGATGGACCAACAGCCAAACAGGCGTGGAAACCTCCTTCACCCAGTGAAAAATTGGCACCCTCTCACCTCATCAAGGAGGAGAGATGTTTTATGATCCTTCCAAGTGACAGGCAGGTGGAAGAGGGGAGAGATGTGAGACAGCAGAGCTTTGGCAAGCCCCTGGCAGCTGCAAGCAGGAGTTGATGTCAAACTTAGGCTAAATGTGGTCAGGGCATGGAGCACTGATGAATGGGGTCCTGCCCCTGCCCTCCAGGCTTGCCCTACTCTCCATCCACCATGGCCAAAAGCTCTTTGGGCCAGTGGCTGTCACCAAGTTGCTCCACCCATAATGAGCCAGGGCTTTGCCAAGCTGTTATAAAGACAACAGTGCCAGGAGAGCTGGTTCTCAGCCCATCTGCCTGTGTCCCTCTCCTGCTCTTGTATCATGAGCTCTCAGACACAAAGAGAGGGGTTTGTCTGCCAGGAGCCTGACTTAAACCATCTTTGGAGGCCTCACATCACCCACTCCTTACAAGTACTGAGCCTCTTCTGCCAGGGCAGAGCAGCCCGTTTGGAAGGAGAGAAGCTGTTTCCTCAAGTCTGTAGCTACTGGGAAAGTCATGAGGAAGGTTTTTTAACTTTTTTTTTTTTTTTCTTTTTTTTTCTTCCCCTGCTGGTATGTGTTAGATTTGCAGATTTTGGTATGCATTTAGATTTGAGCCCAAATCTGGTAAGATGCCTTATGAAATTACTTGTTTTGGAGATCCAGGGACAAATCCAGTAGTTGAAAACAGAGCCAGGCTTAAAGTATGGGAAACTGCTTGTCCATGGGACAGGATATCAGAGTGTCTTCTGACACCCAAACACTTTGGGTGCAAAGGCAGCACACTTCAGGAACTGGTCACTGGGAGAGCAGGAGGGGAGCACAAGGTTCAGCTCAGCATCTGTGGGGAACTGCAATGGATTTGGAGAGCCCAAAAATTCTGTCTTTACACTTGACAGTGGGTTAGTGTCCCATAGGGAGCAAGCTGGGAGCAGCTGCCCAGCCCCAGCAGCCGAGGATGCTCAGCCAACAGCCTTGAGCCCCGAGCCCACCGAACCGAGGCTGCTAATTAGCTCTAACAACAAGGATGTCTGCTCCTCTGAAATCACCAGCCTGAAAACACCCCCGACCAATTTCTCCTAAATCCTCCTCCCTTGCACATCCATCAGGAGTAACATCCCCTTACGGTGCTCCCTGCCTGCAGGCTGAGTTTGAACCGGTGACCCCAAGGTGAAAGCCTTGAAAAGCTCCAGCCCTCCCTGCCGCTCCCAGCGGGGTTTTCAGCAGCACTTACAGAGCAGAGATGGTTTTAGCAACTGTCGCGTCGCAGCAGCCCCCCCCCCGGAAGCTGTGTTGGCCTGTCACGACAGACCCTGCTCACTTGGCATCAGGGCCCCTGGGAGCAGCCACAGCTCCCCACGGCGCAGTGGGGGGGAAGGCACCGGACCAGGGTCCTCACCTGTGCCACCACCATCCTCTGACCCTGGTGGGGAGCCAGGGCCATAGAGCTCCTCTTCCCCCCGCCAGCTTCTTTCCCAGGGGAAGTAAATTTTCCCACTCCAGCTGGCCCGGGAGATCCAGAGGGGAAGATATTATCAAGGCAGAGCAGACTCTGAAGCCAGAAAACAGCTCTAATTATTGAGAGCCAATTCCATTACATCAATCTCAGCCCCAGGGCTGACCCTGGTGGGGAGCCAGGGCCATAGAGCTCCTCTTCCCCCCGCCAGCTTCTTTCCCAGGGGAAGTAAATTTTCCCACTCCAGCTGGCCCGGGAGATCCAGAGGGGAAGATATTATCAAGGCAGAGCAGACTCTGAAGCCAGAAAACAGCTCTAATTATTGAGAGCCAATTCCATTACATCAATCTCAGCCCCAGGGCAACACAGGCCAGATTTTACAAAGGGGCCAAATGCCACAAAAGCAGCTTATCCTCTGTCCCCACAGGAAAAATAAATTATGCTGGTGCAGAGCAGACTCACAGCAGCCCATGGGGACCATTCCCACATGCCACCAAACTACACCACCCCTGCTCCAGCAGGGCCAGCAGACCCTGGTGGCACCTCACTCGAGCCCTCCTTGCTTTTCATCCTGACAGCTCCCTCATCCCTCTTGCCTTGCTCCCTAGTTTGTTTTGGCTTTGTCCAGGCATCTTCCTTGCCCTGGCTCCAGCAGACTCCAGCCAAACCTGCAGTGTGGGCATGTGGTTCCACAAGGATGCCTGTGGGAGGGATGACATCCTGGAGCAGGATGGAGGCAGCAAATGCAGTCCTCATTCTGTCAGCAGCTGCAGCAACAAGAGCAAGAGAAGAGCCAGAACCAGAGATGCCAGCATGAACCCACTCCTCCTCTCTCACAAACCTCCAGGGAGGAGTCCCCCAGGAAAGGCAACACATGGGTCCAGATAAGGCTCTGGGACATACTCACCAGGATGAGGGCAGCTCTTCCAAACACCTCCTGCAGACCACTGGGAGCTGTGACAGCACATGGGAACCAGGCAGAGCCCAAGGTTAGCCAGCAAAGCTACCTGTTCTCCACCACCAATTCCTCTGTCTGCAGGGGCAGGAGAGGAGGAAAGTATTTTAAAGGTAGCAAGAAAGCAGGCAAGTCATGGTTTTAACCAACCTTCTTATTTCTTTATTTGAAAGGCACAGCTTGTACGTCCTTGATACAGCATTTTCAGTTCCTCTTATTATAGGTCAAGTGATTAAACACAAAAAGCAAAACAAGATCTTTCTAAAGGACTATATACAAACACCAGATTATTATTTCATTTTATTATTTTTTTTGTTCCATTTTTGTTTTTTTAGAAGACACGCTAGCACACGGAGATAAGAACAGAGAAAGCTGCTGTATCCTCTACACGGGGGCAGGAGCGCAGGGAGGGGAGGACCAGGAAGGGCTCTGGGTCTGCCTGCCCCTCTGCCCAGCACCCCAGCCCCCCAAAGCCAGGTGTGATGCTAAAGGGGAGCGGGTGGCAGAGGCTCCCCCTGCAGCCCGAGGCCAAGGAGCAGCTGAGGAGAAACCCGACAGCAGAGCATGTCATACTGCCATGGGACTGGTTAAGAACAGATACATGCAGAACAGCAAGGTGCCGGCCTGGTATTAGTGCAGCAGGGGAGCAGGGAGGACAGAGAAGGGCTGAGGTGATGCCACGAGATCAAGAGCGCTTGGGGAGGGAGATGGTTTTGGGGCAGGGATCCCAGCGGGGAGTTGTGCAGAAACCATGAGGATCAAGGGGCAACTTTAAATACCAAGGGGGGAGCAGCGGGCAGAGGGGAGCCACGTGGCACCGAGGAGCCAGGACAGCTGTGGGGCAAGTGGCCCCAGGGCAGCCCCAGCCACA